ATGATGCATCATCAACTTGTGTTAAAGTCATGTTTTAGTTTTCTACAATTTAGCAGTAAATCCACATCTGTTCATCCCCATTTTCTGTTTTACTGAGCATCCCAGCTGTCATATGATTTTTGCAGATGTTGTATAATTACAACTATATATGTTCTGCTTTAAAAAAAACAAAAACAATAATTATTATTAACAATTAAGAACATATATGTTCAGGCTCAGCCCCTCTCTACATCTGACATGCAGGTGGATGAATTGTTTGACGTGAGGCGCAGGAGATTGAAATGTAATTCCAGCCTGACTCACTGCGCGCCGCTGCTCTACTCCATCTGCTCATTGGTTCAAAAGTGGAGCAGCAAGGAAATATGGCCAGTAGTGGAATATAGCTTATGCATTTTAAAAACATAATGCAAAATACGGTGACATAACCCGCCCTGTGAGTTCAAACTGTACTAAACCTAAAAGAATAACTTCAATAAATGTATCATGTCTATTCAATTCACTCTCGAAGTGGAAATCGTTCCCACCTTTCCCCAGGACCTGACTCTGAAAAAAACATTAAGCAGATTTGTTTCAGGTAGAACTTTTTCATAGTTTGCTGTATTGTTTCATAGTTTCATATTGTGTAGTAGGCTTATAGAGAGAGTGAGCAGGAATAGGTCAGAGGAATATAGCTGGAAAAATATGGGTTATGATCAGGCAAGTGCTAGCACCCGCTTTAATATTGGAAAAGTATTCCAGCGCTGGAGAAACGTCAGAGAGCGGGAAGGCCTGAAAACAGACACCGGGGTTGCTTTATATTTGCTCCACACGTGAGGAAAATTGGGTTTGCTATGTTTCACATAACCAATATATGCTGTTGTTGTAATGTTAGTAACAGGCGAGCTGTCTGATGCGCGATCTGTTAGTCTTTGCCTGTGTTGCATGAATTTGGGGGCAGAGCAATGAAGGGAGGTGTGTGTTTTTTCGGGTGTCAATTTCAAATATCAAAAGTGTTTCTGAAATCATCGAGCAATTAGTCTTCTCTGGTCAGTTAGCCTATTAATAAGTTTTAAATTGAACATTTTTTACAGCGCTGTACATTCTAATGTCAGTAAACTTTACTTTGCCAGTTTACCTTTTCAATTGTAAGTTGGAGAGAGAATAGGGTATCGTTGTTGATATTTTGGTCCAGTTTTGTATTCTCATCAATGTAGTTATTAATATGGAATTAACTTCTAAATATATGTTAATTCTCAAGGCAGTTTATTTCACTTCAAACATAAAATGGCATTTCTATTTATGAGATAGAGTAGTGCGTGTCGCTGTCCATGGTCCTGCACAGTGAGTCTGGCTTTGAGTATTTATTATAATGCAGCTGTATACCGTTGTAGCATATTTGAAACTACATTACAGGAATTTGTGTTCTTGAGCATTGCTAAAGTATAGCACATTGAGGCAGGTCGTTTTGTGAAGTCATTTAGTTAATGTCATTTTCTTCATCCTGTCAAAGATGTGTTGATATATTATTTTCATTTAACTCGCGCATTGTCGCTGTTCAGCAGCAAAACGATAAATATATTGTGATCTGCTCTCCTCCGCCATATTCGTTATACCATGTGCAGGGTTTCCAGCTTGCCTTTTTATAAATCGTCAACAGTTATTCATTTTCTGATCGTTTGTACTTCTGCCTCATGCTTCAGATTTAATGTAGGCCTACGTTTACTTTTAAATACTGAGCTGTGATATGAAATCAAAAGATGTTGCGCTTCTTCTAAAGATATGAAATTGTTTGAAGTTGCAGCCATTCCCAGCACGAATCTCCCTCCAAGTTATGCAGTAAGTCTGTTGTGGATTATCCTGGATGGACTGATGAGAAAATGAGTGATTCGTTTCAGGTAAGGTTAATGATACGTTTATTTAATGCAATGGTGTAAATTTGAAAATGTAGCAAACGTTCATTGCTTTTGTTTTTGTACAGAAAACGGCCTAAAATGCTTTCTTTCTTTCTTTGTTTTCCCTCAGTGCTTTTGTATAAATGTATGAATACTTTGGGAGTATGTTAGTTCTGAAATTTAGCCTACATTGCTAACTACTTTAAGTACTTGATCTGTCTTTTATTCACAATTTGCAATCATGACACCCATGTGTGCCTTATTGATTTGAGCACAATTTTACTTTAAGTTTTCCCATGACTGGCTGATACTTTTGTTTCAGAGTGATTAAAATAGAAGAGAGAGAAATATAGAGAAGTAATTGTTCAGTTTTGAATTAATACACGTTTTCCTTTTCATTTTGTTTTTAAAACATTAAGTTACGCGTCCATATCCAGTTAAAGGCCCTGTCTCGTCTCACCTTGTCGATAGCAAAATGTATGCGCATTTAAATGTTTTATCAGGTGCATGTTTTATATTCCTGGCTTTGGTAGCTTTCACTCAAGCACAAGACTTCAAAAATGTAAAATGACTTTAATAGAAGCCTTTAATAAGCCTCTATCGGTTTTTGCTTTTTAATTATCTAGCACTATATATAGCCATGTTGTTGTTTTTATATCAACATCATATAATCAAGTGTTCTCCTTCACTATAAATAAGTTGTGAACGTTATGCAGTTTCAGTTATTCAGTTTAACTCACAGTGTCGCTGTTCACCAGTAAAATCATTTCATTCATATTGTACTTTACTCCACCCTGTTCCTGATGTCATGTTCAGGGCTTCCAGCTCGCATCGTAGGAAAAATCGTAGACATTGTGTCTCTCCAATCTTTTTTAGCATCTCATTTCCTAAATGTAGTTCACACCTATGTTTTCGCTTACATGTTGATTTCATATCAAGTCATTTTTGTTTTCTTTTTCCCCGATATGAATTTTAGAGGCATCGGTGTTGCTGGTGAGATGTTTGGCCTTTTGTTCTTCGTGCTGATGGCGCACACCGCTTATGGAGACGTGAGCTATTCTTTCCCGGAGGAGATGAAACGCGGATCTGTGATTGGAAATATAGCAAAGGATCTCGGACTCGATGTGAACAGACTGTCATCTCGTAAGGCTCGAATTGATACTGAAGGAAACAAAAAACGATACTGTGACATTAATCTGAATACTGGAGAACTGACCGTAGCGGAGAGAATCGACAGAGAGGGACTGTGTAATGAAAGAATTTCCTGTGCTCTTAATTTCGAAATAGTTCTAGAACACCCATTGGCGATACATCGTGTAACAATACAAATACAAGATATTAATGACAACACGCCAGCATTTCCTAAAGATATAATAAAGTTTGAGATAATCGAGATATCTGTGAAAGGCGCTCGGTTCCGCGTGAATGAGGCTCATGATGCGGACATAGGAAAGAATGGAGTACAAAGCTATTCGATTGAAAGGAATGAGCATTTTATTTTATCCGAAAGTACAAAGGCGGATGGTGGCAAAACTATTGAGTTAGTGTTAGACAAAGAGTTGGACCGTGAGCAACAAATTTAGCCGAATTTCCAGAACTGTGAAAGAATTATTTGATCTGAATGAGAATAGTGGAGAGATTAAAGTTAAAGGCCCCATTGATTTTGAGGAGGAAGTAAAATATGAGATGCTTATTGAGGGAAAGGATGGCTCTGGTCTTTCTTCAGACACTAAAATAATTATAGAAATTACAGATGTTAATGACAATGCCCCCATTGTAGTGGCATACCTGACCACGGGTTCGCGCACTAGTGACTTCAAGTTCATCAGATCTTATAATGAGGGCACGCTGACTGCTGACCTGACTCTGAAAAAGACTCAGTCTGCTGTGGATGATCTTGAAGGACTTGATGCAGCAATGAGTGATTCGTTTCAGGTAGGACTTGAGTATTACTTTAAAAATAATTTAGAGTATTTAATTTGTTTAAATTTAATATTTGTGTTTTCAATTGATTGCTTTCTTTGGCAATGTTCTTTTTTCTGAGCAGTTCACGTGGCTCTTTCAAATGCTTGATTGTAGACACATGAACAGGGTCAGTTTGGAGTTAGAAAATATTGATAGTTTATAGAAATGTTGAAAATGATTTTTTTTACACTTTTTCTGGTCATGTATGAGGTAGTTCTTTTTTGCCACTCTTTTGGACTTATTTTGGAGTCAAGCTGTAAAAGTTGTTTGTTAGTGATCATTTAAAGATTTCAAGGACATCTGTCTCATTCTTTTGACTAATGCTTTTGTCAAGCTCGTTAAAACATTTAATCAGTCATCAGTATATGTGTCCTTGTAGAGTCTGCCATTTGTAATTGTCTGCGAAAAAATATTGCTATTTAAGCAGTTTTACTTATCTATTTATATGTCATCTTTCTGTGCAGTTAGTTTAGAATGAGAATTAAGTTCATATGTGAGTAACATTTTCTTGAGAGAAATCTTTTAAACGTCCTTTTAATCTGATTGGAAATGGCATAGGACAGGTTTTCCGTGTTGCTGTCCATGGTGCTGCACTGCCATTTACTACTTGTTTGACTATTTTGTTTGTATAGATCTCTATCCTTCCTTGTTTGTTTGTTTGTTTGTTTGATTGGTTGATTGATTGAATTTGAATAGCACACATACTGTGTGTTACTTATTTATCTCTTGCACTTAAGAGAATGTTGCTGCTGGCTTTAATTTTGCTACACAGTTACATAACAATAAAATAATTTGCTGAACACAACACGCATTCTTTATATGTTCTAACAATTAATTCTGTCTGATAAGAATGTCATGCAGTTTCTTATTTTAACTCACAGTGTCGCTGTTCACCTGCAAAACAATGTGTGTTTTCAGTACACATTTCTCCACCCTGTTTATGATGTCATACGCAGGGCTTCAAGCTCCTCTTTTTGTAGAAAATCGTCGACGGCGACTGATTGCCTGATGTCGTGTACTTTTCTCATTTTTTTCTGATTTTTTACTTTTTTTTCAATTACATAATTTTTTTTTATTGCTGGATTTAATTTTTGCTTAATACCTGAAGCACTACAAAGGTGTCGCGTTGCTTGTGAGATGTTTGGCTTTTTGTTCTTCGTGCTGATGGCGCACACCGCTTATGGAGACGTGAGTTATTATTTTAAGGAGGAGATGAAACGCGGATCTGTAATTGGACATATAGCAAAGGATCTCGGACTCGATGTGAACAGACTGCCATCTCGTAAGGCTCGAATTGACACTGAAGGTAACAGAAAACGATACTGCGACATTAATCTGAATACTGGAGAACTGACCGTAGCAGAGAGAATCGACAGAGAGGGACTGTGTGGAAAGAAAGCCTTATGTGTCATAAACCAGGAGCTCGTCCTTGAAAGCCCTCTAGAACTGTATCGCTTCATTATAAATATTGAAGACATAAATGATAATTCACCACAGTTCACAGAGAATGTCGTTAAATTCGAAATACAGGAATCAGCAGTCAAAGGATCTCGCTACTTATTAGATGAGGCCCATGATGCCGATATTGGTCTTAATTCTGTGCAATCATATACACTTCAAAACAATGAACACTTTATTCTAAATATACTAACCAGAGAAATTGGAAGAAAATATGGTGAGCTCGTGCTGAATAAAGAGTTGGATCGTGAGCAGCAGAAAGAGGTGACATTAATTCTCACTGCGGTAGACGGCGGGACTCCACCGAGATCAGGTACTGTAGCCATATACATCACTGTGCTGGATGCTAATGATAATGCTCCAGTATTTAGTCAGGATATCTATAAAGTCAGTCTGCCTGAAAATGCTCCTGTAGATACTGTAGTGGTGACAGTGAGCGCTACTGATGCTGACCAGGGACAAAATGGAGAAGTGACATATGCGTTTAGTCATTTATCCGAAATTGTCCGGCAATTATTTTACCTTGATACAATGTCTGGAGAGATTAAACTTAAGGGACTCATGGATTTTGAGGAGGGGAATTCAATCGAACTGCCGATTCAAGCTAAAGATGGTCAAGGGTTAGCCAGTCATTGTACAGTAATAATAGATGTTATTGATATCAATGATAACGCTCTTGATGGAGCTGTAGCCATTCCCAGCGCGTATCTCCCTCCAAATTACGCAGAGGTGGAGGGCGCGGGAACTCTCCGCAGCGCTTACAATTATGACGCATACCTGACCACGGGCTCGCGCACTAGTGACTTCAAGTTCATCAGATCTTATAATGAGAGCACGCTGACTGCTGACCTGACTCTGAAAAAGACTCAGTCTGCTGTGGATGATCTTGAAGGGCTCGACGCGGAAATGAGTGATTCGTTTCAGGTAGGAGTTACCAAGTCTTTCTTTTTAAAATGCACTTTATTATTTGACTTACAGATTATGTGTTTGTGTTTTAAATTTACTGTTTTCTTTGGCAGCAGACTCTGTTAACGAAATATTTAGGGTCTTTCATGTGTTTTATTGCAAACAAGTGAGTGCCGTTTTGAAGTCAGAGAAGTACCTGAGTTAAGATGTATTTATCCATCCATTCCTCCATCCATCCATCCTTCCTTCCTTCCTTCCTTCTTTCCTTCGTCAGGTAGCCAGTTGTAAGTCATGGGGCATACTGCACGAATCTATGCGTTTTTACTTGTTTTGTATTCTTTTTCACATTAGCTATTTTGGATTCTAAGAGGTTACATTTGTTTGGTGATGTTTAGAGGAAAGTAATCAAATTTGTCTCATTTTGTTAACTAATCATCACGTTTATTTTAGCAATTTTGGTATGGTCATTTTGGGTGTTCGTATGGATTCTGATATTTTTCATTGAATCAGTTCTAAAATGTTGATATTTTAAGTAGATTTATGTTTCTTTGATCCTTGTCTCCTTACTCCTTTATATGCTGATAATTTATCAATGGAATTAAACTCAGATGTCAGTAACATTCCATTCAGTGAAATATTGCAAACGTCTTTTTAGTCGACTTGGTAGTGACATAGGGCAGGATTTATTTGGCTGTCTGTGGTGCTGTACTGGCATTTGGTCGTAGTATTTGTTTTCTTTTTTCCTTTTACGTTATAATAGCTCGTACCACTCTATCTTGCCATGGCTTTCTTTCAATACCTTTCATCATGTGTTCGTGTTTCTCTATCACTCTTCAGAGAATGTTGCTGCTGGCTTTTGTTTTGCTGAATGATGTTAAATGTACAGCGCGTGTTCTTTGTATGATCCTATTCCGAGATTTAATCCTGTCAGAAATGTCAATATTATGCAGTTTCTTTATTGTGACTCATAGTGTCGCTGTTCACCTGCAAAACCATGTGTGTCTTCAATAGACATCTCTCCACCCTGCTTATGGTGTCATACACTGGATTTCAAGCTCGTCTTGTTAGAGAAATCGTCGACGGTGACAGAAGAATTGTATATCAGGGATTGAGCTTAGATTTCTAAATTCATTCGTACATTAATGTTTTCGTTTACATGTTAATAGATGTATTTCTGGATTTAATTTTTGATCAACTTGTCAAGCACTACAAAGGTTTTTTTCCTGCTGTAGAAATGTTTGGCCTTTTGTTCTTCGTACTGATGGCGCACACCGCTTATGGAGACGTGAGCTATTCTTTTCCGGAGGAGATGAAACGCGGATCTGTGATTGGAAATATCGCAAAAGATGTTGGGCTCGATGTGAACAGACTTTCATCTGGTAATGCGCGCATTGATACGGAAGGAAACAGAAAACGATACTGTGACATTAATTTGAATACTGGAGAACTGATCGTAGCGGAGAGAATCGACAGAGAGGGGCTTTGTGGAAAGAAAGCTTCATGTGTTATAAAACAGGAGCTCGTTCTGGAAAATCCTTTAGAGCTGCATCGCTTTATTCTCAATATTGAGGACATAAATGATAATTCACCTTCATTCAAACAAACTTTAATACATTTCGAAATAAGGGAATCAACAGACAAAGGTTCTCGTTATTTATTAGATGAGGCCCATGAAGCGGATATTGGTATGAATTCAGTGCAGTCATATAAACTTGACAGCAATGCACATTTCCTTTTAAACGTAGTTACTCGGGAAAATGGAAGGAAATATGGAGAGCTTGTATTGGATAAAGAGTTGGATCGTGAGAAGCAGAAAGAGGTGACATTAATTCTCACTGCGGTAGACGGCGGGACTCCACCGAGATCAGGTACTGTAGCCATATACATCACTGTGCTGGATGCTAATGATAATGCTCCAGTCTTTAGTCAGGCCGTTTATAAAGTCAGTCTGCCTGAAAATTCTCCTGTAGATACTTTAGTGGTGACAGTAAGTGCATCAGATATTGACGAAGGACATAATGGAGAGGTGACGTATGAATTTGGACATTTATCTGAAACCCACCAGAAAACATTTTCGCTGGATGCATTGTCTGGTGAGATTAAACTAACGGGGCTTCTTGATTATGAAGAAGAAAGCTCAGTTGAATTGCCAGTTCAAGCTAAAGATGGACAAGGGTTAGCCCGTTATTCTACTGTGGTAATTGAAGTTGTTGATCTCAACGATAATGCCCCTATAATTATGGTTAAATCTCTTAAAATCCCGATTCCCGAGAATGCGTTACCCGGTACAGAGGTTGGCATCATTAATGTGCAGGACAGAGACTCTGAGAATAACGGACAGGTGCGCTGCTCCATTCAGCAAAACGTCCCATTTAAACTCGTACCTTCAATCAAAAATTACTATTCTCTGGTGACCACAGGTGAATTAGACCGCGAGCTGCTCTCTGATTATAATATTACAATTACTGCTACTGATGAGGGCTCTCCGCCTTTATCTTCCACTAAGAACATTCACTTGACTGTAGCTGACGTGAATGATAATCCACCTGTATTTCAGGAGCAGAATTACAGAGCTCATGTGCAAGAAAATAACAAACCGGGCTCCTCTATTTGTTCAGTATCAGCTACAGACCCGGACTGGAGACAGAATGGCACTGTAGTTTATTCTCTGTTGTCCTCTGATGTCAATGGCGCACCGATGTCCTCTTTTCTATCCGTTAACGGAGACACCGGGGTCATTCATGCAAATCAGTCATCAGTATTTGTGTCCTTATAGAGTCTGCCATTTGTAATTGTCTGCGATAAAATATTGCTATTTAAGCAGTTTTACTTTTCTATGTATACGTCGTTTTTCTTTGCAGTTAGTTTAGAATGAGAATTAAGTTCATATGTGAGTAACATTATCTTGAGAGAAATCTTTTAAACGTTCTTTTAATCTGATTGGAAATGGCATAGGACAGGTTTTCTGTGTTGCTGTCCATGGTGCTGCACTGCCATTTACTACTTGTTTGACTATTTTATTTGTATAGATCTCTATCCTTCCTTCCTTGTTTGTTTGGTTGATTGATTTGGAATAACATACATACTGTGGTCTTCTTTATCTCTTGCACTTAAGAGAATGTTGCTGCTGGCTTTAATTTTGCTACACAGTTACATAACAATAAAATAATTTGCTAAATACATCACGCATTCTTTATATGTTCTAACACTTAATTCTGTCTGATAAGAATGTCATGCAGTTTCTTGTTTTAACTCACAGTGTCGCTGTTCACCTGCAAAACAATGTGTGTTTTCAGTACACATTTCTCCACCCTGTTTATGATGTCATACGCAGGGCTTCAAGCTCTTCTCGTTACAGAAAATCGTCGACAGCGACTGATTGCCTGATATACCTAGTGTACTCCTCTCGATTTTTCTGAATTTAATTTTACATTTGTCGTCTTGTACATTTTCATTGTTTTGTTGTTGGATTTAATTTTTGTTTACTATCTGAAGCACTACAAAGGTTTCGCGTTGCTGGTGAGATGTTTGGCTTTTTGTTCTTCGTGCTGATGGCGCACACCGCTTATGGAGACGTGAGTTATTATTTTAAGGAGGAGATGAAACGCGGATCTGTAATTGGACATATAGCAAAGGATCTCGGACTCGATGTGAACAGACTGCCATCTCGTAAGGCTCGAATTGACACTGAAGGTAACAGAAAACGATACTGCGACATTAATCTGAATACTGGAGAACTGACCGTAGCATAGAGAATCGACAGAGAGGGACTGTGTGGAAAGAAAGCCTTATGTGTTATAAACCAGGAGCTCGTCCTTGAAAGCCCTCTAGAACTGTATCGCTTCATTATAAATGTTGAAGACATAAATGATAATTCACCACAGTTCACAGAGAATGTCGTTAAATTCGAAATACAGGAATCAGCAGTCAAAGGATCTCGCTACTTATTAGATGAGGCCCATGATGCCGATATTGGTCTTAATTCTGTGCAATCATATACACTTCAAAACAATGAACACTTTATTCTTAATGTACTAACCAGAGAAAATGGAAGAAAATATAGCGAGCTCGTGCTAAATAAAGAGTTAGATCGCGAGCGACAGATAGAGGTGACATTAATTCTCACTGCTGTAGACGGCGGGACTCCACCGAGATCATGTACTGTAGACATACACATCACTGTGCTGGATGCTAATGATAATGCTCCAGTATTTAGTCAGGCCGTTTACAAAGTCAGTCTGCCTGAAAATGCTCCTGTAGATACTGTAGTGGTGACAGTGAGCGCTACTGATGCTGACGAGGGACAAAATGGAGAAGTGACATATGCGTTTAGTCATTTATCCGAAATTGTCCGGCAATTATTTTTCCTTGATACAATGTCTGGAGAGATTAAACTAAAGGGACTCATGGATTTTGAGGAGGAGAATTCAATCGAACTGCCGATTCAAGCTAAAGATGCCCAGCGCGTATCTCCCTCCAAATTACGCAGAGTTGGAGGGCGCGGGAACTCTCCGCAGCGCTTACAATTATGACGCATACCTGACCACGGGCTCGCGCACTAGCGACTTCAAGTTCATCAGATCTTATAATGAGGGCACGCTGACTGCTGACCTGACTCTGAAAAAAACCTCTTTGGATGATCTTGAAGGGCTTGAAGCAGAAATTAACGATTCGTTTCAGGTAGGAATACTGGGTTTTTTTTATGATTTGATTAACAGATTTAATAGATTTGTTTTTTGAAAAATGTTACGTGGCTCAGTCTCATTTGTTTGTACATTAATATTTTAGAGGATCAGTTTGATGTCTAATAAGTAGCTAATTTAAGTAGTGTTTTATATATTTTGCACTGGTTCTGTTTGCAGAAGTATTGTTCATCACCCGCGATTTAAGCTTAGTAGAAAAGGCATATTTCTTTTTGCTGTCCATGGTGCTGTGCAGGCTCTCAGTATCTGTTGCTGCAGGGATTTGCCCTTACATTGTGGGTCTACATACAGTCTTTTTTTCTCTATCTCTCAAATAAATGGTCTTTAATTGAGTTTGTACTCTTAAATCCTACGAGAACGACTCGTTGTGCCAGACCCTTGATATTAAGTTATTTCATGTGCATCAAAATGTCCAAGTTATATCCAAGTTTTGCTATTTGTTAGAGCTACTGGAGTTTCATTAGTGAACTTTTAATGTTTCTTGATTTGACTGCTGTCATTGACAGCAGTCTCTTTAGAATAGCAAGATAATGTGGCTCATCCAATGAACATTTCTGAATTTCAATTTAAAGTCTGAATAGTAGTTCAATTATAGTCCAATTCATACATTTTTTTCTGTATGATCAGTCTTAAGTCATGTTTCGCGAGTCATGTATTTGAGTTATTATTCTTTTTTTCTACGCTATAGCTAATGTTTTGGATTCAGAGAGCTTACAGTTAGCCTCTTTGTTGAAGAACTTTACAAATGAATAAATCTGAAATCTGGCTCGTGCTGTTGACTAGCCGTTTTGTCAAACACATTTTAACGTTTTTGTCTTACATCAGTTTGTTTGTATAAGGATTCGGATTTATGTAATCGAATCAAAAAAAAAATGTTGCTGTTTTTGTAATTTTGCCTTTTTCTTATCGATGTCTCTTTTATGTGAATTTTGTCTTATAAAAACATTTAAATTCCGATGTCAGTTCAGTAATTTTTAAGCGACCTTTTAGTCGGAATGGATATAGCACAGAGCAGGTTTTCCTGTTGCTGTCTATGGTGTTGCCCGGGCAGTTACTCTTGGTGTTTGTGTTTTTTTCTTTTAGAAACTGTAGGCCTCTTTATCGCGTTTTTTTTTTAAGTACCATAAATCCTGTGGTTTTTATTATCTCCCACTCATCAGTGAATGTCACTGCTTGGTTTTTGCTTCACAAAATAATTTTAGGTATATACCAAGTTCGGTGTATGTTACAGGACTTAACCCTGTCAGAGATATGTACATCATGCAATTTCTTAATTTTAGCTCATGGTGTCGCTGTTCACCTGCGAAACCATGCGTGCATTCAGTTCACATTTCCCCACCCTGCTTGTGATGTCATGCATAGGGCTTCAGCTTGTCTCGTAATAGAAAATCATCGACGTTGACTGCCTCATATGCTGTACTTCTGTTTGCTTCTCTAAAATTAGATTTGCATCTGTTTTTTTTTATTTGTTTATCGTTGTGTTGCTGGATTTAATTTCTCAGGGATTTTAAAGGTTGAGTTGCTGGTGAGATGTTTGGTCTTTTGTTCTTCTTGCTGATGGCGCACACCGCTTATGGAGACGTAAGCTATTCTTTTCCGGAGGAGATGAAACGCGGATCTGTGATTGGAAATATAGCAAAGGATCTCGGGCTCGATGTGAACAGACTGTCATCTCGTAAGGCTCGCATTGATACTGAAGGTAACAGAAAACGATACTGTGAAATTAATATGAGTACTGGGGAACTGATCGTAGCGGAGAGAATCGACAGAGAGGAGATTTGCGGGGACAGGTTTTCATGTGTTTTAAAATTTGAGGTCATGCTAGAAGATCCATTAGAGCTGCACCGTGTTTCAGTTCAAATCCAGGATATAAACGACAATTCGCCCGTTTTCTCAAAGGAGTTGATCACATTTGAAATCACAGAGTCTGCTGAAAGAGGCTCTCGCTATCGTTTGAATGTGGCTCATGATGCTGATATAGGACATAAAGCAATTCAGAGATACAGTCTACAGAAGAATGACAATTTTCAACTGAGTATAAATTCAAATGTAGACGGAGAAAAAAAAATCGAATTACTGCTAGAAAAAAAGTTGGATCGTGAGCAGCAGCAGGAGGTAACATTAATTCTTACTGCGGTAGACGGCGGGACTCCACCGAGATCAGGTACTGTAGCCATACACGTCACTGTGCTGGATGCTAATGATAATGCTCCAGTCTTTAGTCAGGACATCTATAAAGTCAGTCTGCCTGAAAATTCTCCTGTAGATACTTTAGTGGTGACAGTGAGCGCTACTGATGCTGACGAGGGACAAAATGGAGAAGTGGCGTATGAGTTCAGTCGTATCTCTGATAGAGCTAGAAAGCTTTTTTATTTGAATCCAAATAGAGGTGAAATTCGGATTACAGGTGCACTTGATTTCGAGGACGAAGCCGTTTACGAAATATTTGTTGAAGGAAAAGATGGATTTGGTTTTTCCAGTGATGTTAAAGTTGTGATAGAACTTACAGATGTTAATGACAATGCTCCTGAGTTACGAGTGAAATCTTTGCGTAGCCCTATTCCCGAGAATGCGTTACCCGGTACAGAGGTTGGCATCATTAATGTGCAGGACAGAGACTCTGAGAATAACGGACAGGTGCGCTGCTCCATTCAGCAAAACGTCCCATTTAAACTCGTACCTTCAATCAAAAATTACTATTCTCTGGTGACCACAGGTGAATTAGACCGCGAGCTGCTCTCTGATTATAATATTACAATTACTGCTACTGATGAGGGCTCTCCGCCTTTATCTTCCACTAAGAACATTCACTTGACTGTAGCTGACGTGAATGATAATCCACCTGTATTTCAGGAGCAGAATTACAGAGCTCATGTGCAAGAAAATAACAAACCGGGCTCCTCTATTTGTTCAGTATCAGCTACAGACCCGGACTGGAGACAGAATGGCACTGTAGTTTATTCTCTGTTGTCCTCTGATCTCAATGGCGCACCGGTGTCCTCCTTCCTATCCATTAACGGGGACACCGGGGTCGTTCATGCCGCGAGGTCGTTTGATTACGAACAGCTGAAAAGTTTCAAAGTGCT